GATAGGCCATAATAATCAACCACATTGTATATCGACAAAATAAAAATTTAAAGGGAAAAAAAATGTGCATTTCTAGCAAGTTCCCAGGTTTGTGGTTGTTGCTGCTCGGGGGACCACACTTTGACAAGCACTGCATTAAAGTGTTTCATAATAAACCTAATGACATTTCCACCTGAAGCCATTTATGTTGTATACACATGGTCTGCCTTAGCTACTCTTAAAAGTGCTATACCATCAAACTGAATGAAACAGATAAAACTCAGGTAAAAATTGAGGTATTATATACATCCTAAATAACATTATGGATAGTTTTGAAATACTTGAAAGTACAACACATTTTTCTCCCATGCTCCCCTTTTTTATTATTTGCTTCAAAGAATTAGGTATTGAGGATACCATGGTGTTTTATAAAATGATATTTGTAAATCTTGGCCTGAAAAAAATCAATGTAGTTTTCAGAATTGCTTCACTTACTTTTGAGCAATAGTCTATGTATCCGAATGAATAATTCTTTTTTTTTTTTTGTGGCTGGCCAGTACAGGTATCCAAACCCTTGACCTTAGTGTTATAACATTGTGCTCTAACCTACTGAGCTAACTGGCCAGCTTTGAATGAATAATTCTAACAAATCAATAAAATACCCTGGCCAGCTTTAGTTTGTGGGTAAAACTCCATCGGGGATTATAAATATCAAAACTTAATGAGACAGTGTTGGCAGATAGCTTTGCTAAAAGTCGAGTAAAGGTATCTGAAAGTCTACTGAAATATGCCCTTTTTGAAATTCTCCATTTAAGGAGATCAATAAACAAGAAAACTAGTGTTTGACAAAGCTAATTCTTCACGGTCAACACATATTTGGTTAACCGTAGAGTGAATCCAATCTGCTGAAGTTATCCAGAAAAATATAACAACTCAGAGAGGGAGGAACTTGGTTTTTTTTAATGAGCACTATTGTTCCTGATTTACTTAAGACCACTCAGTAGGATACTCATGCAGACATAAATAGGACAGCAGCACACGAATGGCTTCTTTTTCCTCTGTCTGCTCTTTCAAGGGTGCTCAGCAGCCTGCATTAGAAACACATTAGCAGACTAGTAGTCAGATACCTTTGCCTCAGGTCTGTCTGTGGTTTCGTTTTTTATAGGTTAAAAAAATTTTTTTAATGCTTACTTGTACAGATAAGACTAAAATCTTAGGAAAACGAAAAGATGATGCTTCTCCCTAAAGCATGTTTTGTCAAAACAAAATCATCTCGATTCTAAGTTTCTGTATTCACTGCTCGGAGAGATTCTGAATAATTTCCCACCTTTCTAAAGTTCTTCATCTATGTGCCTCTGGCTTCAATTCAAGCAAAACCCAATTATTCTGTTTGTCTGCAGTGTTAGATTTTTACCTGGGAATTTCTCTCCTTCATTTCGGTGGT